TATAACCTGTGTCCCTGCAGTTGCAGACACTGCACTACGTACTATACCCAACGTTATACGTATTAGCCTGTGAAATATAATCGTTGGCGCGCGTGGGCAACGTCCGTGGCCGGGATCCATGCTAAGTCGCTTCCAGCTTTACAGTGCGTCTATCGTTGTATTACAAAGGTACAACGATTCCCTGCCCGAATAATTCTTACGTAACGTGTACGGTGGGTTTGTTGACAATTATTTAATTCATCGTTCCTCTGTCTGGCAATATTTGAGTTTTCATCGATCCAGTCGTTTGATTAGTCGTTTGAATAGAATACTATGTATAGTCTTTGCGTTGACTCTTTTTTATGACAGTTTAGTTCGAATCGACCGCTGACTTGACTCTAGCAGTTTGTCACGTGACGTCACAATAGGGCCTACGGCAGCGGATTCGCTCGCACGTAATTTCAAAGCGTAACCGTCTCTTGCGGTGACCAGGACTCGCGATGACGGCTTGTCTTTTTATAGAAGAATTATAAGCGACACGGACGCTGCCCGACGTCGCGACGCGCATACTCTCCTCCTTTACATTCTTCCTCGCTCTCACATAACCTCTTGTCGCCATGTACGACGACCTATAAACAGATATTACCTAGTTTGATTGCGCGTAATGGCCCATGAATGCATCCACGCGTCGTTGCATGTGACTTATTCTTACAGGGGGACGCGATTAATACGCAATCATATCGAACGTCTTTTATTTACATCCTTTTATCATTTGTCGAGATTTCCCCGGGGGATATTGATTTAAGGTTATGGCGTAGATATCCTTTAGTATTTCGTATGCTGCGCTTTAACTGGGTCGTAACTGAAATTTTATATGCTGTGGAATATCTTGTTTTTTAACCTTACGTGTAATTGGGTGGGAAATAGATTTTTTTAGTTTTTTTTTTTTTTTTTTTTTTTTTTTTTTTTTTTTTTTTTTTTTTTTTTTTTTTTTTTTTTTTTTTTTTCTTCTTTGAAACGTATACGGACTTTTTTATTCCCCTCACTTCCTCGTTTTCGTGCAATTTCACGGCTCGAGGATCTTTCTTTGGCATCTTTGCCACGAGCAGGCGCGGTGGCCCATATTTTTCGACGTCTTCTGTTACGTCATCGAGAATTCCGGGACTCTAGACTCGTGGGCAAGGCTCCTTGCCAATCCTGCTAGACTGGATCATTGATCAGTTTTTTTTGTTTAAAGGGAATTTATACAATATTTTTCTTTGGTAAAAAAAAATTCAGAAAATTTGCAGATGACACAGCTGGGTGCAGTAGGCTATGCTGGTTTTTTTCTTGTTCTGGGGGATTTCTTCGCGGTTACGTGGAGAACGTAACTGGTGGTTTCGTATTAATAATTCATCCTGGATTTGTGCCAGAAGGGAGGCCCCGGTTATGCGAAATAGGGAGGTTGATCAATTTCCCAAGTGCATTGGTATCCGAGTATTCCTAATGTATGAGGAAAAAGAAAATGGAAAAGGAGAGAGAGGAAAGGATCAGAAGCCTAGAGGAAACTGTGAGAAAAATTGAGAGTGGGAATGGCCTTCTGCACGGGGTCACTCGCAGTAATACGGGTCAAGAAGGTTTTCCTCATTCACATTACTAATTACTAATTATCTTTAGAATATTTTTATAGCTGTACGAGATTTTTTTTTTTTTCGTTTCCTTTACTACGGGGATTCATTTTTGAGGTGGTTCAATATTGAAATTTTTTTTCCAGACATTCCATTCCATAACCCCGGCGATCTCACGAGGTCACGAAGAGTGTCAGTTTAACAAGTTTTCGAGTTTGAATTTATGAGCCTGGCGCTGCCTTTGAAAAGTTTATGTACCGTTGCCTGATTGTTTAACCCACTTTTATTAGACGTCGATAAATACGAAAATCAAAGTGCGGCTGTACATGCCAATTCACAGTGTACGCTATATCGCATAGCCACTGTACATGTATTACGCGGGTATTTGTATCGGTTGTTATTCACTGTTTTACCATTATCAGGGTATTGCGTATGTGCATATATACGAAGAAACGTATAGAAAAGAATTTTTGGTTCCACCAGTAATTCGATCCAGGAAGTTGGTGACTTTCTCAAAAATAGTTCACAGACCTGAGTATCGCTAAGCGGAAATGCACTCGTTAAGGTTCAAAGAGAGGGATGACTTCCTTTAGTTGTTATAGAGTAATCTATAAGACCACACGTTGCGACTGTTAATTAAAATTTATACAGTTTATTTTGCGGGTATGGTAGATGAACGGGATGTAAAAAAATATCTAGTTACATTTTTTCCCCTAGCTTTATTATAATAACAAAATTCTGTTCGGTGTTTACGAGGCTTTTGCTTGTACACTGATTTTTTGCTCCTTTGTTTTGTCTACCGTGCTGTCTCCTACCGGGAAGCCACAGGGTATTGGGCGAATGAAAAAAGGGTGCAGGAAGTTAGCCCCCTATAATTCGAAAGTTCCGGTTCTACTTGTTGTTCTGGCTTGTTCTAAGTTTGTTCTATAATGTTCCAGAAAAACAAGTTTCTCAACTGAAATTTGTAGCGATGAGGCGAAAAAAACACTTTTTTACTGGAACCCCCCACTTATGGAAAATCAAACTTTTTGTTGTTGTTCCAGATTGTTCTTGTTGTTCCAAATATTGTTTCAGAATATTAATACCGCTAAGTAAAGAATACTCGAATAGGATCAAAAAACGTTTTATGCATAGCAAGTAGATATAGGACCATTTCGAACGATTTCCAGGTTATTCCAGCTTGTTCTAGGTTCTCCTAGGTTTGCATAGCTTTTCCTAGATTTCTGTAGGTTTTCCTATGTTTTCCTAGGATTTTCTAGATTTTTCCACGTTGTTCCACGTCCTACCACGATCAGCTAGGACAGTCACATAAAACCAGGGAAACACTGGAAAAGCTGAGCATTTCGAACGATTTCCAGGTTATTCCAGGATGTCCTAGCTTATTCTAGGTTGTTCTAGGTTTTTTTAGGTTGTTCCAAGTTGTTCTCGGTCTATCGATGATTGTTCTAGAATTGTATAACGATCGGGTGGTCGCAAGTCGGATAAAAGTAGGATGAAACGATTTTATATGCATAAAACGTTTTTTTGATCCCATTCGAGTATTCTTTACTTAGCGGTATTAATATTCTGGAATAATATTTAGAACAACTAGAACAACCTTGAAAAACAAAAAAAAGTTTCATTTTCCATAAGTGGGGGGTTCCGGGAAAGAAGTGTTCTTTTTTTCGCCACACCGCTACAAATTTCAATTGAGAAACTTGTTTTTCCGGAACATTGTATTTAGAACAAACTTAGAGCAATTCAGAACAAACAACGGAACCGGAATTTTCGAATTATGGAGGGCTAACTTCCAAGACTTATGAAAAAAAGTTCCTAGTCGCAATAACGAAAGTTCGCGTTGGATCCATAAACGAGGGGTCGTCTGTTTTAGGGGGCTAGTAGGGCGAGGGTGGGGCTCGATAATAATTCTACGTTCTGACTATGGCGACCTCTTTAATTCCGACGGCACGTCGAATATCCGAGAGGGCGCAGAAAATGATAATGAAATAGCCGTAGGGATATTTACAGACGTGTCCCTGGTATCTTTGACCTGGAGAAATATTTGAAAAATCAAGCTTCCGTCTAGTTACCATTTTTCATCCATTACTAGAACTGAAATACAGAGCGGTGCTATTTTTTTATTATGGTCTAGTTGCTTTTTTACCCCATTTTTCAATATTCCCTAAGGCCACAACGCACACCTGTTTTTATCACGTAACTTTTGCCCTGTCCAAGCCAATTTTTTCTATTGCAAACAGCATCAATTTCACAATGGAATCTCGAGGCGCCGTATCGAAATTTCGTAGCGAATAATTCGCAGCTCCTAAATCCAACCATGTCGATGCTACATTGCGTGAAAGGCTTTCCTGCATTACTATTGCACTGTGTATATGCACTTCTTGGCACATGCGTACTAGAGAAATGCGAGTCGGATGACTTCGAAGTCGCGGCCTAGTTTATACCGGACAAGACACGGTCGATGTTTCACGTTCTCGCAATTCCACCGTTTTACCCCGGACAGCCATCACATAGAAAATTCCACCAGAACTTTAGGAAGCGTCAAAACTCCCAAGCAAGTCTGGATTATAGCTCGAGCCCCAATACTAATAACAAGCCCGTAGATCCACTCAGGAACCGTGGAATTGTCCTACTTTACTTTTAATATTCTGACACTCGTTATGCAATTGACGCTTAAGTGCTGTTAAAAGATAAAAAAATCAGCAAGACTGTAATCAGCACTCTAGCAATACGAACCGTGCTAATTAACCTGTTTGTCGCAGCGCGGCTGTTGCAGCTTTGTAATTTCTTATCGATTCGCGTAAATCAACCGGCACGCGTATAAGAAGAATTTCAAGTGAAATTCAATTTTTAATTATACATGCCTTATGCGAATTTATACGCAAAACTCGTTCAAGGAGCGAATTTTAGTATTTTTATTTTATTTTAACATTTCTCACCCGTTACTCCGGCGTTATTATTTATCGACTTTACACGATGCTCCCATAGATACCCATGTCGACGACCATGGGCGGCGCGACGCGTCTCAAGTACTTTTCGAGCACCCGGCTCATCTTGAGTCTCGGGGCGAAGAGTGCGAATAGACTCTGCACTGCTTACTTGAGTATCTATAATAAAGGCATTGGTCGATAGCTATTCTATTTTCTACCTGCTTGATGGACATACTCCATGGTTCGATGCCCTTCGAGATGATGTTTTTACATATATATATTTTTTTGTGTTCAAAAATTTTCATCCTAAAAAAATAGAAAAACCAATGTGAAAGTGGTCTTCTTGGTGTCTCTTTAAAATATAGTAACGTTGCATCGTGAGATAACGATGCTTTTTTTAATCAATGGTATCCGTATATGAATAATTATCGAATCAATATTATTAATGTTACTTAACCGGTTAATTTTTCTTTTTTTCGTGTTTCAGGCCAAACAACGTGCCTCCGTAAAATGGCTGCTGTCGAAGGCGTACAACAACCGCGTGCCGGACAACCTTCGCGAGCCTTATTATCGTGATCATGAGGTACGTCTCTTATAAATTTTTTCTCTGTCCTAGGATAACTTTATTATCGTTATGCAATAACGTTTACGTGCATTTCATTGTGTATTTAGATTTTTGGGTGTATCGATTGACAATGGCTACTTTGTGCCATACGGTGATCACTCGTTAAACGTAGCTTTGAGAAGGCACGAAAGTTACGTGCAAAACTCTCATTAAATTCTTAAGTTCATATTTTTTAAAATTTATTCCGTCCATCTAATGTTGTTCCCCATCTGAAATTTACGAGAGGTATTCAAACGGATTGTTTAAAATGGGACACCCTGTATGTAAATATATATATATATCAGTCCCAGATCCAATTAGACCAATTGAATTACTTGGCAATCATCCGACTGATTCGCTATAGCGGAAACAAGAGGAATCGTCAGTCTTTGTTGTTGCACCGCGACAGATAGTTCACCCGCGACTGTAATGCGTCTCACGGCGATTCTATCGGGCGATTACAGCGTGCGCCGATAAGTGCGAGTGTCTTAGAAATTTTACTATCACGAACGTATCCGTGGAATTGCCGAGGGTCTGTTACTTCGTTCATGGAATTGTGTCGCGGTTGCAAGTCGAGACGTAGACACGAGGTGAGACGCTCATTACACTTCGCAACTGCATTCTCGCGTAGTCGTCGCAACTAGTCTGTGTCCTTTTCTTATCTTTTTTTGACTCTTGGAATTGCACTTCTCTCATTATTTCTCTTTGTCTATCTCTCTCGCTTCTCTCTTAACCGAGAATCTGGCTCTTGGCCAGATGATCATTATGTAGGTTGAAGCTTGGACTCTCTCTTTCTCTCTTATTCTTTCTTTTTCTATTCGGGAATTGCGGAGCACTAAAATCTACTTGTAATTGGACATTTTGCGGTTCTTTCTCTTTTTTCTTTTCTTCTTTCAATATGTGCACAGTGTATGTGTTGAAAGTGCAATGGAATTGCGTATTCTTGAAAATCCGCGGCAGGTGGAATTGCGCTAGATTTTGTTGGTTAGGCGATCGATTTCAGATGTCTTTTTATTTTTTAGACTTCTTCATGGGTCACAGTATGGAATTGAAGGGTATTTAAAGATAATGCATGGAATCGCAATCCTAGGTAATCCTGAGAAGTCACACTGGCAAGGCATGAGAGATTAACTCGTTAGTCGGGAACGAAGACCGTGTGCTTTAATTATTATTAGCTTAAGCACGGCTGCAGCGCAATTATACGCTACTACGAGTCTTCGCGTGTTCCGTTTATGTATGTCGAGGCGACGTGAATTTCGTGCACGAATTTCCGGGACAAAATTTCTCTCTGTGGTACAATTCCGATATATCGTAATATCTGGTATTATTTGTTTTCGAGTGAAATTATTTCATAAATATTTTTCCGTCCAGTTAACCTTGACAGAGTAACGAATTACCTAACGACGCACATGACACTTTGACTTGGGTGCAATGGCTACTTAATTAGATGCTCCGTTGAGCCTAAACGAGCCTTCGTGATTTGTCGTAAAAACGTTTCATTATCGTCAGGACGCATCACGATCCTCATACTTTCAGTCAAGGTGAAAGTTTCTAGGAGACTCTTTTTTTCATCTAAGGACCAGGTGCGGATGTATATAATTAGCGGTGATTTCTCGACGTCGTTCAGATTAATTACCCTTAGCTCCAACTAAATACAATGATTACGAAGGACTCTGTCACGTTTTAGGATTCCCTGCGCTTTTAACAGCAGGGATACCAAGTCCCGTCACACTGATCTATTATTTGCGCCTTTCAGGACCAGGAACACCTGAAGCCTCAGATAGTCCACGCTCTCTCAAATGCTGAACTCTACTGCCTGGCCCTGGCGAACATCTACTCGGACCCCAATTATCACAATCAGAATCATTGGGGCATCCTGCAGGCCCTTGCCAGGAAGGGCGTCTACGTCTCGGAGCCGAATAATACTCAGCTGACGGAAACGATCCTCATACAGAATTCGCCACTGAAAATGGTGAGTCCCGATATACACGATCTTGACATGGATCGATTGGACCAGCGATTAGTTAAATTTTCATATATTTTTCAGTCGGCGCACATGGCTGTGATAGAGGGCCTGATGGTCCTGTACGCGAAGGAGGTGGTGACGGGTGATCGCGTTGTGGCGGCCATTCAACGTTTCAATCCTCAGACGGAAGTGACGGTACCTGCCGATCACGAGAAGGGTCTCCTACTTTGGATAAGTCAGGCGTCGCAGGCGCTAATTGCCAAAATTCAGATGGAGGAAGGCGCCGGGGACAAGACCAGACTTCCGGAATTGCCGGCTGCCAAGGATTTTCAATCCTTGTACGACGGCGTGGGCCTAGCCGCTGTCGTAGCGTTCTACTGTCCCGGGGAGCTCAACTGGATGGACATCAGGGTCTCGAAGAGACCCTCTGTCGCGGATGCGCTTCACAATCTATCCATGGTTCATGCCTTTTGCGTCAGATGTTTGCCCTACTCCATCTTCCATATGCAGCCTGAGGATGTTACTTACAGGAGAGGGTTGGACATCTTTTATTTTTACCTATTGTCTTATCTATCCTTTTTCTGATCGATAATTGTTTTCTGAATTGACTTTGTGTACAAAATCGTTTGCGTTTTTTAGGTCCATGAAGCAAAACCTCGTCGTGTTCCTCGCTGACATGTACAATGTCCTGGAGATACATCCGGTGAAGTGTGTTCGTTATCCCGGCGAGGAGAGAGCGCTGCAGTTCTTAGATGGTACGTCAACTTCGGTCTGTTCTCATGTACGCGACCGAGATCAGTAATCGAGGAGATTGTTGCCTCACCCATAAATTGCGTATATGTCCAAGTAAATCCTCAGGATGAAGTACGAGGGAAAGGAATATGTTAGGGGAGCACTGTGAATAGTCAAATTCGCAAGACTCGCGTATGCCTTTTATTTTCTCTTCTCAATGCATTAAATCTTAACGGTGGTGGGCATACGGTATGGCCGATTATTTGGTGATGGCTGCTGTCGCAAGCAAAACTTTGAACTTACCTTTTTATATCATTTAATTTCTTATACCTTTATTCATGGAGTTCCATCGGGATCGAGGGCAAGACTCTAGAATACCGTATTACTGCACTCTGATCTTGAGGCAGTGCAATCGAATCGATCAATCCTTCAAATCTAAGACGGTACAGTCTAGTTGCTTTGAGCTTGCTCACGATCTCGATGGTATCACGCTTCTTATCAGTGTCAATACACATACTCGTCCCAGTATAAAAATCCAAGATCCTGTTGAGCCGGCGATAAACTTGCGAGTAAAGAATAAATTCCTGTCAGAGGTGTCAATTTGTGCGAGACGTAAACGAGGAAGCAAGTTTAAAAAAAGAGTACTTTGCTCTATCGCAACAAAGCAGCATCAAAATCAACAGCAAGAATGCGATAACAAAGAAAAACTTTCAATAGCATTATCGGGTCAAAGAAAAGAAAAAAAAAAGAGAGAAACGTGTGAACGTCAATTGAGAATGACGTTGATGCGTATAATCGTCGATCGCTAGTGATCAAAAGAAATGAGACAATAAATGGGTGGGAGCGGGTGGTGGGGAGGAGGATGTTGGAGGAAATAGAAAGACAAGGAACAAAAACCTATCTTATCTGTCAGATACCTTTATACTACAAGTGTAATATTTCCATATATTTCTATGGCATAACCTTCTTCTCGATGCTTGACAACAACGCTATCCTCGCCTTCTTCTTTCGACAACTTCCGGTTTGCCCATGAACCGAATATGGCGTCGTATCGTGCTGGCGACGGGTTGCAGCGTGCCCGCGCAATAGTCATGGCGTAGCTCATAAGAGAAGTCTACCACAGTCTATAGCTCCGATACCCGACCTGAGAAGCAACCTCTCCGTATCCGCGCCAGGCTTCACAGGTACCCACCCACACGATACCAAGAAAACAGCATCATCTAGGTGGCCTCCTCTCGTTCCATCGGGTTTCATTCGACGTAGATGTCGCTCGTGAGAGAAAGAGAGAGAGAGAGAGAGCGAGAGACAGATTTAGATCTATATACATTTATATATATTTTTTATCTTTCTCTTTCCTGTACACTCATTCAATCTGAAGCTTTAACGAGCTCTCTGTCTCTTTCTGTGACGCGCATCATTTCTTGACTAATCTGGTGTTTCAAATGCAGCGCAAACAATGATATTAATTGTACAGAGAAATTCTTGGGAACGTTTTATTTCTTGCTGTTTATCTTGTTAACGCTGTCTCTTTTTTTTTTTGAATCTTCATTACGGATATACATATATAAAGTTTTTACATTTTATTTGCTATAAACAACGTTGTTGTATGGTTCTTAGAGAATACGTTAATGGACAGGATGTCAGGTGAAATCATTGTCGTCGTTCAAGTACACCTGACGTATTTCCATTGCGACAGTTGTACATTTTTATTTTGTTTGATCTTAAAATGTCGTTTGGGACCTGATTGATACGAATGATGTTCGTGGGAAAATTTTAGTTATTAATTTTGTGCTTTGCACTTGAAACACTGTATACAGTCTTTTGATCGATACTTTGAGCGAGACGGTGTAACGAAGTACTAGGAGCACTGCTTGTTAATGAACGTATATAATTTGCGTGGTAATATATCAATATATGATATATCAAATAGATCAATACTGGCTGTATAATCCAAGTATACACGGGAGTGCATGCGGCTTCGAGAATTAATAAATGAACCATATCAAAATTTCATGACCGTATGTGAATATGTAAAGTGTACGTTATATGCATATACATATATATATAGGGTAAGATAATTTTGTTGGAGCTTGCTGTGAAATTGGCTTTTGTTCTTTAATCATTTTGCATGAGATTCTATGGTCCCGTGTGTACAACAAGAATACTCGACGGAACGAGAAAATCATTATGGCTTTCCTATTTCCAAAGGAGGTTTCCACTGTGTCTTCGGTTCGTCTATTTTTTGTTGCGATGTATATATTCCCATTTTTGTTTTTGTTATCCGTTGTCTGCAGTTTCGTTGGTGTGTGTCACGTCTCCCTGGTATATTTTTCGCAGTTCTTCATTTTTTTCTGTTTTTTTTTTTGTTGTTGTTGATTTCACTCATTTTCAGATTTCTTGACACTTCACACGGTATACTCTTAGACGATCCTAGATGATATATTGTAGGGTAGATGAGAATTAAATTACATGCTACAGGCACTCGTAGATGTACTATACTGTTAGACTTACCGGATTTTTTTTTTTTTGTTGTAAATATATATCGTTCTGTTCACATGAATTTCTAGTGAACTGCAAATATCTCTTATACACATAGTCGCGTTCCTATGCGTTTAGTGAAAAAAAAATTGTTGAGGTTTCACATATGATTATATTTGCAGTATAACGCATGGGCACTCAATGAGTCCGGTCTTTTGCATTATAGAAAGAAAAAAGCAAGAAATTAAGTCAATGAGAAATTCGAGAATCGTATTACCTTGCCTGAGCATTTTTTGAGTTAGGATCTTTTAGAGTGTCCTTTTTTCATATCCGTCACGTGCTCTCTGAGAGTATTGTCTAATTTTATTTGTCCAATCGGATTTTAGTCGCCAAAGCAGCGCCGATCGGTTCTGTGAAAAAGTCACAGTCACTACAACAGACGACAGAACATTCACACGACGACAGGTAATTATAAAAAAAGGGATTCCCTTGTCAAGAGTAATTGGATGTTTATAAAAATTTACAGGAGAATCGGAAGCGAAGATGGATTCGTAGTTCATCGTGGAAAAGGTGTTCCGACGTTGAGTTCAGTAGCCGACGAGAAATCATCAGCCAGAGCGGAAGCTGCTGGTCGACCTAGTAACTGGGAAGATCAACGACGAAGTTCCTACGCAGGTCGACGTTCGCGACGTAACAGCGTCACCGACGACTCTCAGTTGACCATCGAAAACTTTGGAGGTTCACAGGTAACAGTCGATCATTTAAGATATCAAAATTAATACTTTAGTATATTACCCAAGAGGTATCCGATTGGTCGCTACCAATCTCATTAATTGGGTAATGCTCTGTTGTAGGACAATTTACACAATTTTGGGAGAAATCCTGACAAAGAAGTGGGTGTTCATATCGGGAAGCGAAGTACAACCGAACCCACACTTCCGGCACGGTCCAGTGTTCAGGATGTATACGGAAGTGGAGTCCAGCTGATCCTTTCCGACAACGGTTACAACAACGAGGAACCAGGGAGACTGAGGCGACAGGCTTCGAACTCAAGTCTGAACAACGTTGCCCTCAAGAACATTCTACATTCCAATGATAACGATAACACCGACGGGGAGACCACGAAGATGGCGAGTTTTGCCAATTTGAGCAGGCAGAGCTCGGAGAAGGGTATTAACTTTACGTACATGGAACAGGATCGCGAAGATCCACCTGCCAAGTCTAGTTTCACTAGTAAAAAGCAGGGCCAGAGCAACGGCAACGGGTTCGCCGAGAAGAAAACCACTTTTGCCACGTTACCGAACACAACCACGTGGCAACAACAGAGCAACCAGCAGATGCAACAGACGGAACATCACGCGGCTGGTGAGTACTTTGTAAATTTAACGTTGATCGATGTTGATTAGGATTCCTGTTGGAGCTGTATTCACAATGACGTTGTTACTTGTTCTTCGTGGACAGATGAAAATGGCGGAAATACGGTAATGGCCTCGCAACTTAACAACATCAGGATGAAGCTGGAGGAGAAGAGACGACACATAGAGAATGAGAAGCGGAAGATGGAGGTTGTTATGTCGAAACAACGACAGAAGGTTGGAAAAGCAGCCTTTCTACAGGCTGTCACGAAGGTAGGACAACCGACACGAGACGACACGTTGGTTATATTAATCTTTTTTTTAAACGAAATTAGTACTGTTTAACATAACCGTGCATTGAAGTTCTAGACAGATGCATTATTAGAGTTGTTTCTATGTTCAAGAAAACTTTATGACAACTTTAGTAAGTTGTTTTGCTCGTTGGGACAAATTAGACGTTTACAGATGCATATGCCCTTTTTTAAAATTGTGTTATCTGATATGGTAATGAGAAGTACCTAATGGATAATGTGTTTATATTGAAAATTCGTATAGAACAGTAGAAAGCAATGGAATTTTTAATTTTATCCGGAACAGTACCTTTGACTATCAAATTAGATTTTTATATTAATTACCCAACTTGACACTGTCACCTCGTGCGTCGCTATAAGTCTCCGTGTGAATATTTTTTCTACTTTTCTTATTTCCAACAACTTACGTATAACATCCTCAATCGTTACAGTTACTCCCTGTTACGTTGTTCTTCCTATCCTTTTCTTTGTCTTACCTGATAATCACTGTTGTAACGCGCATCTCTCTCTTCTTTCCAATCCTTCAGCTGTTCTCTCTGGTAAGAGTGCATGTCGCAGTGCACACTATACTTTACTTTTACAATTAATCGAGAATCTTATTTATTATACTTGACGGCATCGATATCAGAACTGTTGCTAGTGTAAACGCTTTTAATGATACATACTTAAATATGTATATGTACATAACGATCCATATACGTTTACACGTTTTACTGTAGTCTACGTCAAATTTCTTTAAAGCCTACGCAGAAGCAGAATACATGCCGTTTCTTGCTTGATTGCCTATTCATTTTCTGTATTATCATATCTGCTTTCGGTACTGTTGTGAGTTCGCGGTTGTATTTTCGAAAGGTAGGGAATAAAAATAACAGTAAAAATGTACAAGAGCAAAGTATAATAAATACAAGAGAATCTCGAATTCTATATACACTCGATGCTGTCTCTAGCGCCACTGTGTATAACTCCGTTCATTAATTTCGCACGCCTTTCGGCGTCTTATCGATATCGCAAACAACTGTTGTATTTACCAGAACGCGCGGTCCAATTATTAACAAAGTGTGTATAAGGTGTTTGCAAACATGTATATAAGTCTATATTACAATTGTGTATTTTACAAAGCGCCGGGGCCAAGTGACAATAATTTTCATTCGATTTGTGTAAGATTCAAATGTAAGAAAAAATGTTCAATTATATCATTCATCGCACAGCGCCATAGCATTGATCATTGTTCGGCAGTGAATCAAGTAGTCGACAGTTAGTAGTACGTTACAAAGTACGTAGTCCAGTAGACGACGATTGGCAGGTATTACCATTCCTTGGTACCCTTGCTGTAGAGACAAAGCTCAGATAACCAAAAAATACATTTTACTCGCTTGACGCGCTTGCGATTATCTATTATTTGCTATGAGACTCGAGGACGGCTTTTTGCGTATGAAAGTTTGACGATTTGTCAAGAGAGAAAGAAAAGAGTGAAGGAAAAAAAAAAAATAAGGAAAATAGACCCATTGCATACATAATGCAAGATGAGAACTTGGCCACGGATTCGCTCCTCGTGGATGGTTTGTCGGTGTCCTGGTGGCGGACTTCTCAGTACCTAACAAGGCACGCTGGTTGGGCTGGTTGCAGGGTAAGGTTAAGTCTCCCTCTTCGTCAACGTCCGGGGGTGACAGTCCGGTGGATCATACTCCCCCAAACCCAATAAACTCCGGATCCGCGGGGGAGACCCCCACAAGCATTGCCGAGACATCCCTTGTTGTAACCCAACAAACCTCACAAGAAAAACCGCAACGTCCCTTCTCGCTCAAGGTACGAGACACGTTACAAGCGTCTGCCGTAGATTATTAGCATGTACGACGCCATGTTGTTTGTCATTATTTTCATTATATATCTGTACAACCGTAGCGTCCACCCTTCAATGCTATAGTTTAATTCTAAGTGGCCATGCTTTGTCGTTGCTCCTTGGCTCTTTTGATTTACTCTTAGAGCGCATCCCGTTGGACTTTCTTTAGACTTGTGTACTTTTGTTTTTCAACCACTTTTCGGGGTTCTGTTTTCTTACCAATATTTGCACGTCCCGTACCGTTGTGGATACGTCTCTCAGGTCTTTAAGGTTAATGGTGCAAAGCCAGAGAGCACTTGTCCGAGTCAATCGAATGCGGGCTGCACTTTTCTTTATGGATTTTGTACGCTTTCGTCTTTCTGGTAGTTGCTCGTTGCTCGAACGCGGTGCGTTTTATATGCCCATTCGATTGGAATTGCTTTATTGCTGATTGAATGTACCTCGCGTAGAGCTAGTAGGAGGTTGCTGTGCTTAGTTACTCATTTGCCTTACTAGCAATATTGTTCATCGTGCTTTGCATGCTTGTATTTAAGTTGTCAATAGAACGCAGCTCTTCGCGTCATGCCGAATTGCAGTAATTCATTTTGGTGATGGTTCATCGTTCGTCAGTCTGATGTATAGTTTCCCACGTATCTGTTATTGGTTTTTGAATTTTATTTTTCAACTCCTCTCTCAATCACCGCAAGCTACTTTAGCGAGCGTTGAAAATATTTGACAGTAACGGACAAAATTGTACGAATACGAGTACGATGTTAATTTTTGGAAATTTTATTCCTCATCAGTCATACTTTTGATTTCTGTGCATTTCCGTTCTCTTAGTCATTCGAAATACGTGAAAGTAAAAGAGATAGCTGGGACGACGTCCCGACGTCTTTTGTAGTTACATAAGATGCGATATTGATCAAACAAAAGGAGAAATAGGTACTCTATGGACTTTCGTCCTAGACCTTTATCCCAAACACTGTCATCAAGTCCGCGGCTTCGTTGATAAGAAAATATGAGCGATTGCTTGTGGAACTGTTCTTCCAACTTACTTGTATCGTTCGTCGAGCAGGTTGTTCCACTCAACGATTGTGCATCTACAGGTAAACAGCACTTTATTGGAAGAGATTAATTGACCTTTGACACTATATAATAGTAAACTGTAAATTTTTAGTCGATCTTCATAATTTTTCATGAACTAGGTACCTTGATCAGTTGACAGAACTCAGATTCGAAACTGTCCCAGTGCTCTGTTCTTAGTAGGCTGTGATAGGTATACCAAAAAAAAATGAATGACAGTATTTTGCAAATTATTTGACATAGATTTAGGTTTTGGAAAAAGAAATTTTCGAAAATGTTTAGTCGTACAGTTGACAATATATTTTTTCTCATATCATTAATCCTACCCATGAAATTCTGTTTTAGGAATCAATGGAAGGGCGTCAAATGGTTAGAATCTTTTAAAGGAAAATTTATGCAGGTTTTGGTTGTTGCTACTTCCAATGATTCTATCAATAAATTTGTGGATAACGTCGATTATACGATAATCGATCACGAAACAGCAGTGAAATCTATGTCGAGCAAAGTTAACAAAGAGCTGTCACATATTGTCAGTCCCAATTCCTCAAGTAGTACTTTACGTGTTAATAAAGTGCACAGTGCGCATGAGACTCTGCAACTTCCTCGCAGTGACACGGAAATTACAGAGTCTGATTCTGATGACGAAACTGTTATTTATTTCAAAATGTTCAACGACAACGTGGAGTCTGATGATGATCTGCCAAAAACTACAGTGAAGGATTTATTTTTTCGGGTAACACCGTCAAGTCGCACCGTCAGTGTGCAAACCCGTGAGAGCGATGGTATTAAAATGATTTATCATAAATATAAATGTCAGTAAGTCAATAGCTGATCAACACACCTTATTTGTCTCTTCCAATAATGAATTTATCAGTGCATACCTGTAGGTGTACAAAGTCTAAAAATTTCAAAGTGACTCGAATCTGTCCGGGCTTATTATTTTGATTGATTGCTGATTTTTCTTTTTTTTTCAATAATTCAGGAAATTAGCGAGGACGTCCGGGACGTCGAACACAAATGGCTCGAGCAAGATGGCAGCGCTCCTTTCATCGAAACACGAAGAACGCCTGACATCGAGAACATGGACCTGGATCAGTATCATCAGTCCATATCTCAGTGAGTATCCCGTAATCCTAACGGTGTTATGTCGAATGTTAAATAACAAAAAAAAAGTCTTAGATCATCCTGCTGATTCGTAAGACCTACGTTAAATTGTCACAGGATGAATAGCAGCCTCAGTGAAATTCAGGCAGACATCCAGAGACTTGCCAGTCAGCAAAATCAAATACAACAGCAGCACTTGATGAGTCAACATCAGCAGCAGATGCAGCAGCAGCTACAGCAGCTGCAGAGTCTCAGCCAGCAACACATGCAGGTCCTTACACTTTGATCCGACCGTTTAAAACCCAATGTATACCATGTACGAGTGTATAATTTTTCATTCTGACGTTATGTTTCATCTGTCCAATTAGAATTACGCAATTCCCCCAATGAACCCGATGACACCGAGAATACAGGACAGTCAGCAGTCACAATTTTATCTTCACGATCAGCCGCAAATCCAGAGAAGAACCTGGAGACAACCACCGATTGGCCAGAGTCTTGCAAATGAAATGACCGCGGCTGGCTATCAGCAGAATCCTGACTCCCGATACAGTCCACAGCCAACAGGTACATCCTCGGCCAAAGTAGCTGTTGCACTTGTATGAGGATGCTGACTGGACCATTGATTCCAATTTCTTAATCTCCTTACAGTTTATCAACAAGATCCGCGTCTGTACCAAGACACGATAACTTGGGGCTCGCAATCGCCTCAGCAAAAAGGATTTGTACTCCACCACGACGCTTCCCAGGAGCAGAGGTATCTCAATGGTGGCGATCATAGTCTCTGTAATAATCAAATGAATCATCCACCAGCTGCGTATCCGAGCCCAGCAACCCTTTTCAACCAAACACCGCCTTCGTCAGCTAGTCCTCAACATCGTAACGCCGTAAGTGGATCGTCCTACATCCCATACATCACGAACAATTTAAGAGCATTGTAGATTAGTTGGGTACGACGCGTAAATTGAAATGTAGAACATCAGATTTCCTGTCTAAGCAGAAGTTACTCACTGGGCTGAAACTGAATTAGTGATGCTTCTGTAAATGTTACCTTTTTTTTTATCCTCGCGCATGGCCACTTCTGCTAGGAGGAAGTTACCTTGTATGCGAAAGGTTAACAATACCGCGAAGTTACTCGTGCTCCTATATCCGGTATGGGAAGGATGTATGTCCATAGGCAGGCAGGTGTATACCCAGTGCCCTTACGCTTTTGAATTTCACGGTGCCTGAACGGTATGAAAGTAACTTGTATGTAGCTGGTTTATGGCGAATACACACGAAAGATCTCCTCTCTACCATTCAGTAACGCTGTCCACTACCGTTGCAAACGCGTTTCAGTGTATATTATGCGTGAAACCAGTTGGTGATGTAATGCACATTTATAGACAGTCGTTGTTGACACCCAACATGGCCGAGACTTCCCACACTTGTATTCTGATACCTGGACACCTACGGTTCGAGCGGAGCCCACACTTTGCCTTTTCTGATACATTTATTCATTTAAATAATATGTATCTCTTCTATTCCTCCAGTACAAGTAGCTCGCATAGCTACAGCAGCGAGGTTCGTTTTTCTATGTTCCTATGTGAATTGTAAGAGATAAATATTTTCACTCCATACTCAAATCAGTTGACCATCCTGGCTGTCAAACGGATGGCACATTAATGGTGTTGTTATTAAGAACAAGTGAAGTGTGATAGTGATGAATTATTGAAGTTTACAGAATATGGATTCTATTTGTGAACTGGGACTGTGTTAATTTTTACACGACCTACTCATACCGTTGAGTCTCATGTTACTGTAACTATTTTTTTAAGTCTTTCGTGATTTTTAATTTTCTTTCTTTCTCGTCCCAACGAAATGAATCTCTTTGTTGCACATTCGACCTTAATCGTTATCTTCACTACAGACGTCGATCGTTCCTCAGGTTCATCGAATAAGTCAACTGATGAGCGAGAGTCCAGAGCCGAAGAGGTCGACTGTACATCATATTCCAATCACATGCGAGAGCCCCACCGAGAAACGTCAAGCTGCTGTTCTTCACACACCGGTACCGGCACCTCCCGTCGACGATATGGAACCTCAAAATATTTCCTTTATTGGTAAGTCTGACAGTTCTTAAATTATTTGGAATATGGAGCTGATTGGGAAGGAGCACGTATTTTAAGTGTTTGACGCTCCTAATTTTTCCAGGGAATGATGATGATCTCGCCCAAGGTATACGAGGTCTACACATCACGTCGGGTAGTCGAACGTACAGAATACCGTCTCCTACCAGACCGCCGATATCGCGAAATTCCTTCCAACCTCATCCGTCGTTACGAGAGGCGACGCCACCGCCATCCTCGACGCCGGAGGTGACGCCACTCGATCCAACAGACGCAGGCGAGAAGGGTTTTTATATTTCCTTTGACAATGATGCGCCCAAGAAGCCCAAACCGACGCTCAGGGTTAAGAGAGCATCGCCTAAGAAGGTAGTTGAATAAATTTAAACGCTGTTTAATTCTTGTACCGGTTAGGATTGCATTTTTTAACATTGACTTTGTTCTTATTTTTGCATAGGAGAGAAGCGTGTCGTCGTATATAGAACAGGAAGACTTCACGGTACGACCCGAGTCTCCTCCTGCCAGCGCAGCTGAAAGACAGAGGCAAATGGAAGCGCAGCGAGACTTGGAGAGGGAGCGACTACGGCAAGCCGAGGAACGAGAACAGCAGAGACAGGAAATGAGGGATCGGGAATTGCAGAAGGAAATGGAACGTGAACGACAGAGAGAACGACAGCGAGATGGCAGTGCTGAGGGACGGCAGGCTGCTGGTACCGGGGTTGGTCTTGTCATTGGAAATCAGTTGACCAATCCGGATCCTGTGAGTGTAGATTAGATTTAAAAATTTTCACTGTACACTTGGGTGTCTTTTTTAAAAGATTCTATATGTGATGCTTATCTCTTTAGAATTCCCTGGACGAGATGGAGCGAAAGAAAGAGCGAATAATGCTACTGTCGCTGCAGAGACGGCAGCAGCAGGAGGAAATGAAGGAGCGGAAGGAAGCGGAAGCGCAGGCACGCAGGGAACAGGAGAAGCTTAAAGAGGAAGAGAGAGCTAGAAAGAAGGAGGACGATAGACAAAGAAGAGCTGCCATTTTGGAACAGTATAAATTGAAAAAGGCCATCGAGGAGGCCGAAAGAGAGGTACTTCATACTTCGGGTTTTAATTAGTTTTATTAGCAGTATTGGAAAATTTCCTTAACCGCTGTTCTTTCTTTCGGGTTATAGGGCAAAGTACTTGACAAGGAGTTACTGAACGCTATAAAACCAACCAAACTGCGGAACAAGACTGCTGCGGGTCGTCCGCGGCCGAAGACGATTCACGGGGACGCTGGCGCCGATCTGGATTCCGGTGTATTGACGCCGAGTCGCGGGAAGAAAGGCTCTTCCTCAAATCTCAGTACAGGTAAGTTCAGAATACGCGAGTATTGTTTTGTCGCATTGAGCACAAACGCTTTTGTTGTTATCTCTTAGGAACTGGATAAAAATTTAATTTCCTTCGGTAAAGCAAAAATATGAAGAAAAACAAAAACTATTCTAAGACCGCGATCTCTATTATATCGACAATCCAGTTCCCAAGTATCTTGACGTCGTTTAGCGTGGTAACACATTGACAATTATTGTGCTGTATTATTTGACAATAGTAAAGATTTCGTCGATGTTGCAACTGTATCGCTCTATCTTTTTTTGCATGGCGAATTTTTATTGAGCGATAACCGATTTTCGTTTAATTCCCAGTAAGAGCTGATTTTATTTGACATCTTTTATTGAATTATCCATCATCGATGTTTCACGGTGATACTATATCCATCACGTAACATAATCACAAGAAAAAGAAACAGACAAGAAAAAGCTCTAGATTTTCTAATCCATCAGTTGTCACTTCGTTCGTCTCCTTATAATTGAATGTTGTCTTCTTATCAGTGTCAATTCTTGCACTAGTAGCTACAATTCCGTCAAGATGCCTCGCGATTATCAATTCTCAATGCGTGGTCTAATTACAGTAGGATAGAAAACACGAGCTGATTTTTTTTTGCACTAACACACTTACTATAGCGTCGCTGATGTCGCCGACGATGAGGCGAGACTACTACCGAGGCTCGCAGGACAGTCTTACTGCCGCCCACCTCGACGACAGGCGTTCCGGGTCCCTTTATCAGGGTGGCAGTCTCAGGGGTATGCACTACACACACTCTATCACTCGCCTCTTATTTTTTTTTTAAATTAAGATTCTGTCATATAAATCGAAGAAAAAAAAGTTCGCTATTACAGGATATCCTAGAGAAGTCAAAGAGTAAAACAACAAAAGGAAGGAGTCGTCGACCCTTTTTGAATAAGTAATGATTAAAAGGACGTCGCGACAACAGAATGAATAATTCAATTTCAGAAAAAAATTCCTAACGTACATCCAGATATATTGTTCAGATATATACTCCAGATAAAAGTATTAGGATACTTGTACCAGTACCAGTAGGTAGTAGTGATACTTGTGACTCTTTTTGTTTTTTCATAATGAACTTTTTTTTCCTTCTAATCAATAATATTCATGTCACTACTTCAACCCTAACTGTCTATTTGAGTCTGCATGTTCTTTAAGTATTAGTCTAGCTCTTGTATAGCTTGTTTCTATTCTCTTTGAGAGAGAGAAGGTAGATGATGAGAATCACCTGATAATAACGAAACAATCAGAAATGTTTTACTAACAGTGCGTAACACCAATGTCCTATTTTAGTATCTTCCGTAGATTCACCGGATGACGGTGGCGGCTCGTCCCCATGTCGAAGTGTAAATCAACTAGGACGTCGCAGTTCCTACAAGACATCACGTGGTAAGTTTTCAAACCCGGTACGCCCGCTTGTTTGTCACTTATAATTATTCTTTAAATACTGAATATCAAAGTAACATAAGAACGTGTACGATCCACGTTTCCACGAAACTGATTTCAAAAACAAATGCAAACAAACCAAATCAGTAATTCCCTTTGACAATTATTTGGCTCGACGAAAGTAGGCTTCGTCACACGGATTGCCTATCTGGTATGAAAAAAGAAAAATGGACTAACTAATATATAGGCTGTACAGTGCGAAGCGAAACGTTTGAAAAATAATAATCATTTACCTAGCTTCTCAATTCCGTTATTAAGCGACTGAGTAATGAGGTTGCTGTATTATCATTTATTTGTGTCTCTCTTATAATTATAATTTAATTTATTTTTTAATCTTTCTCTGTTTAAAGGGTATGAATTGAACTTTGAAGTAGCGCCTTTGTAGTTGGAGACTCAAGAAAGAACCTTTTTTTGTTTCTTTGTTATATCTTTCAGTTGGAACGCAACGTTATTCTGCACCGTACTGCACACCGGCTACTTGATTGATTAGCGTAAATCTTCATTTGTTTTTTCTGAATATCATTTTTCATCGTTCTCCAGCCCTCCCTCCGTTGCCCGACCCAAGCCCCTGAACATATCTTTTTTCTCTGTATCTTTCTTACATTTATATCTTTTCTATACCTGAACGTGTCTATATGTGGATATGGCATAGTTGCTTGTAATCGTATTCTCGATGCAATGACTGAACGCCGTGTTTTCCTTGTCGACCCTTTATTTTTTGATTTTTTTTTTCAATACCCCGTTTAATTTAAAACTACTATGATTTGGTCGTACGTGCCGTGCGAAGTGTAACAACGCAAACGTTGCATTATTGCAGATGCGCAGGAGCCTCAGCAACAGGTTAGAGGCAGGCCTAAATACCCGTCTTACCAAAACTTTAAGGGACGAAAATCTAATTCCTTGATGAATTTGTGTGGTAAGAAGCAACCAGTGACTTGGAATATGTTTATTCCCTTCCACCACCTGTTCTCTATATGAGAGATTCATTATATATTTTTTGTTCTTTTTTTGTTTGTCTTGCCATAAGCGACAGTGATTATATCTACAAATATTAAAAAAAAAAAAGAGAAACCATACCTGTCTCTCTATTGTCGTGTCAAAGTCTCTTTTTTATGTCTTTATTACTCCCCTTTTGTAATTACACCACGTTTATCAATTGTCGTAGGCTACTTAGCACTTTGTACTACACGTAGTGGCATGGTGGCAGGTTCAAGCACTAAGGTTGCAGCCATATATTAATGATTATATGTAATTTTGCACATATACTACACGTACAATTATTAGCACATTATTTTAAATGCTTTTGAGGTTAAAGTTCCACGATGAATTTTTGTCTACGCTCTTGTCTGGTGTATATGGACCTTTTTGTTCATTTTTTTAACTTTCCTATTGTTCTTTTGTGATTTTTCGTGCTGTTGTATACGATTCTTGGTGGAACTTTGATCCTCATAATTTTTCAATATATATTTATTTTGCTACATAAGGTTGGCTACGATTATATTCGAAAGCTTCGATGGGCCTAAAGCTGTACAGCACTGGTTGTGGTTCTTTCCGGGTATTCTCAATGTCTTTCAGATTGTGTCGGTGGTTCCGGTTTTTTCAAACTTCGTTATCTCCTCATACTAACCTCCCATCTAGGTCTTGTACAAATTTTTCATGTCCTTAAGTTTATGTTATATGCATATACTTTCCTGTATATCCTTTTGTTTCCAGGTTTTTACATTATTGGGATTGCGATTGGTCATGGCAAAATTCACTGAGTCGTTTCAATATGTAGTGATATATTTTTGTTTGTAAAATTTGTCTCAGTGTATACCATGGTTTTTGAATAAGAGCTTTACAGAATTTAATTTTTGGTTATACCCTGTGAATTTGTCATTAGCATCGTACCTACCCACATAATTTTTGTTTAGTAACTCGAGTAGTGAAAAAAATTAGACAGTTTCTCAAAAGCAAGTCGTACCTTCCTAGATGAGAATCAAGGACCCAGTACTCATTGATTATATAAGAAGCAGGTACCCCGTAGTATCTCATATACAGTACAAACGTTTCGTACTTGTCTAGTTTAAATTGCTAGCTAGTAGTTGACCATTTTAATCAAATTCTAGAATCGTCTAGTTCCTATTGACATCAAATGCAAACAGGAATATAGTGATTTGTCTGTAATTTTTTCTTTCACTAAAAATAATAAGAGCTCTTCAATACACTGTGTACCACTGTGCTTCTGGATAAGTTAAATTAGAAGGAGAAGAGTTACAAAAATTATTTGGACAGTAAGATGCACATTGTTTTCAAGAATAAAATATTGTCTCATAAATATTCAGTGAACGTTTGTACACAGTGTAGACAAAATTAATACAATTCTATGTATACAATTCACAAGTCCTAATACGTGACTAATATATTATTAAAAATGACTCTGTCGTTCTTCAAAAACTAACAGAAGGTTAACCCAATGATCTTTTGGTATGATTCAATGGAATGTCTTTCTCTTTAAATACATATATCAATTTGGCAAAGGAATTAAGCGAGGGTTAATAAAGAATTGAAATGAAAAAAGTATCAAGGAAAAATTAAGCATATCAGTTCTAAACATTCTAAATAATCTGATGAACGTTCCTCTGACGTCTCACGATCAATTCTCAAGTATTGAAATTATATGTAAAAATTGGTATCACCAATCAAAACGATATTCTGTCTTTATATAGATTCGGATAGTGGTCTGGGTACATCAACGCCACCACGGAGAGCACCGAGTCCTGGAGTAGGTGGTATGAGACACCTGCCATCGCCCTCGGGTCCAGGTTCCTTGCCACCAGGATTCATGACGAAGAGAAGAGTCTACGATGACGGAAGTAGCGACATCAGCAGCACTCCTAGTTCGATGATGGATTACAATGGTGAGTAGAAAGTAAAAACCTGAGCATTTCATTCGGTCGCTTAATTTTTAAGTTATCCACTTTGAGTAATAACGTTTTCCCGTGTTTGAAACCAGGTCCACGACTGTACAAACAACCCACGACGAAATCCAACCGTGGCATAATGCTGAACGCTGTAGAGTATTGCGTATTTCCGGGCACGGTTAACAGAGAAGCCAAAAGACGCGTGCTCGAGGAAATCGCAAGATCCGAGAGCAAGCACTTCCTGATCTTGTTCAGGGATGCTGGCTGCCAATTTCGTGCACTCTACTCCTACTGCCCTGACGGTGAAGAGGTCTCGAAACTCTATGGTACCGGACCGAAGCTGGTTAACGACCGGATGTTCGACAAGTTTTTCAAGTAAGTTCATTCACTCCTGATCATCCTTGCTTTCTATGATCTTAGGTACTGCGATTCTTATCACGCATTTCTGTTCTTTATTCCCTTCCAGATACAATTCTGGCGGCAAGTGCTTCTCGCAAGTTCACACGAAGCACCTGACTGTAACCATAGACGCCTTCACGATACACAATAGCCTCTGGCAAGGCAAAAAGGTCAATCTACCGAACAAGAAAGATATGGCTCTCGTCATATAGTTTTACACCAGTGTCACACCTAACATTACGCTACTATGCCCTCTGTTGTTCATAGTTACTATTTTAATACAGGCCCATATTAAATTAATGCAAACGTTGCGTTCTTAGTCAATTTTATAAGGTTCGGGATACCTGAGATCGGTGCTGACTTGCCTGCACTAAAACGAGACACGTGACTCACTTAATGGGTCCGCATTATATATACATATGTATATTACATATTACACTGCGTTCTAGGATTTTGTTCTTTTATGCCATTTTGTCGAATTTTTTTTTTTTTATCGTTCCTTGTATATCGTGTATGTTCTGTTCTTGTTCTCCCCCCCCCTCTCTCTCTCTCTCTCGCTTTCTCTCTCCCTCCTTTCTACCTTGTCCTATTCTTAATTCTTCGTCCTTCTCGTCCACCATCTTCCATTAAGATATCTGGTTGTCGGTGTCAGCACCGATTGTCGTGTAACACGACTATCAGTATCTTATGATTAGGAATTGTTTGTACTCGATAGTTCCAGTATTTCTCTACGGACTAACTCCTTTGACTTGTGTAAACCGCTATGTTGATTATGAAGTGTGCGATGCGACAATTTGTTATTTCTGTTGCACAAGATTTAAAAGTCACGTAGATATAATATCGACGTGACGACGCATTGTCATTTGAGATCTTTTTAAATTCAATTGGTTTCAAAGGGACACGCAAGATTATCTCGTGTGCCTTTCGATGATGAAAATTATGTAGAGTAAAATTAAGGCATAGAGAAAATTATGTAAAAAAAAAAACAAGACCTTTTTCGTCGGCATACCAATCGTGGAATTTGTTATTCAATGAATGGATATGTTGACAAGAGGAATATTGATAAAATTTTGATTCCAACAAATGGACCGTTATATCTGTTGACAATGGTCTACTGCGATCTCTGGGCGATCGAGCTAGGATTTAATTAGCACTGTTCGCCGTGGGCGCGTTAAATAAGATTCTCAAAGTCGATAGAATATTTGATAACAATCCAATTTGAATTATTGGTAGTCGAATATCGCGCTCATTTCTCTTCGCGCAAGTGCTGGACTGTTGTCGGTGAGTCGTCGGTGTAATCTGTATTTTGTGCTTGTTGGTCGATGAGATGGTGGACGGGGTGATGTGAGTGAGAAACACGGAGGTGCGAGAACATAAGAACAATTCGTGAGGCGAAGGTAGTTTTGTAAATAAATAAGTCGATCGCATTTAACGAGAATGAAGAAGGACAGAGAAGGGGGAGATGAGAGAAAGGAAGAACAAAAAATTCCAAATCAGCCTTGCAGTCAATCCGGGCGAGAATAACTTTTTTTATGATGGATAAAAGGAAGTAAATAAAATGACAAAACCCTCTTCCGCGTGTCGTGAACGAGACTCGGGGAAAAATAAATGATCAAAAGATGATCTCTTTTCACTGATTGGTGTGTATTGTTTTTCTTTTTTGTATGACCGTATACCGAACTGTTATTGGCTGAGTGGGTGTGCGTGTCGCGTATTAATAATAAGAGTGAAATTATGTCATATTTTTTAACAATGCCAATTGTTGACAATGGGCCTGCTTTTCAGTATTGCTGTGTCAGTATTTTGCGTTTTTGAACAAAAATAATAGAAACACGCGCGCTAACAGGATCACTGGTCTCTGAACTACGAGGTGTTCGAAGGACGTTGAGGGAATGTCGCGTTAAATTTTAACAAAGAAACTAGAAGCATAGAGGAAAAAAAGGATAATCCTCGCGTCCCTGGCGAGGAAGAAGAGGCACGCGTAGGCCTTTTCACGTTTGCGTACATGACAAGGGACTAGAAGAAAAATTGTATTAGGTTGTAGAGTGACTAACGATAAGACAAAACTGTGTATCGTGCCATAGATAGTAGAGACGATCCTCGCCGGGTCGAGGGGTGATAGTGGGGTTGGTTTGGATTTGGGTGTGGAGGTCGATTATCACAGAATTCGAAGCCTCAGTACCAAAAATGGAGAGAGAGAGAAGCAAAATAACTATTATTTTTTTTTGTATTTAATATTTTTTCACGAAGAAAATTATGCCGCTCGATATGCGCCGAGCAAGCGAAATAATTAGTGCTAGAAAAGCATAAGACTGTAGTACGTCCATGCAAAACGTCCATGCAAAACGTCAGACGTTTTCCAGCTATTAATACTCTACCTGGAATTAGGTATTATTGTCAATTTTTTTTTTCTTTTTAATTTTATTTAATGTCAAAACAATAGTACGAAAAGAGAACGTACCAGTATTAAGAAAGCTGACATGTATGGATATCCGTTGCGTGGGCGTATTACAAAACGAGGCGTATTCGACTATTAAATAAAATAATTGCGCAACATATCGATCCTCATCTTCTCCACAATTTGGCCCAGTGGCTGGTGTCAAGATAGAGTACAGCAAAGTCTAATTATATTTTGTCGTTATCAGGCGGAGTCTCGGCCGTTGCTGTTATTGTTGTATTGCTGCGTCGAAAATATAAATGCGCACTGCGTTGTATCGGATGCGCCGTTGAACCATGACCGAGTAAAAAAATGTATGCACGATGATTATACAAGAAATTGGAATCCGTCGATCCTTTATAAATATTCATATTGAAAAATTTATCTCTCCGCTCTCGTGTAATGTAAATGTAATTGACGCGCGCTTCCTGCCGTCAAGAGGGAGGAAGACAAGAGAGAGAAGAAAAAAAAATTGGCAAAGTAGTGAAAAAAGAAAAGAGAAAAACAAGCGACCGCGTGACGTGGGGGGGAGAATTCTCACGTTGATAACAATCTTTGGAGATTTGGAATTTAGGCGGAAAGGCGGTGCTGGGGATGAGTTAACGAAAAAGAAAATAAATCTAGAACCAAGCAAATATAATATTACGTATGACGTGTATGTTAGTTGTAATTTCACACTCAGATACATAACGTCAATGTTGACGTTATGAAAATGAATGAAAAATTACAAGATGCATGTTACATGTGTATTGTGCTCGCTGGGAAGAAACTTAAAACAGTCCGAATTGACAATATTGATGAACGAAGCGTTGGGAGTCGTTGAACTGTATGATTTAACTTTCTTTTTGTATCTAAATTTTCTGTTCTTTTATTTTTAATACAAGTCTCTCCCTTCCGTTCCATTACTGTTTGGCCAATGACAACGCGCGAGCCGTGACGAGTCCAAGTGCTTTGTAGCGGTGACATGTAGTAATGATGCAAGGCAAGCAGATAGATTAAATGGTGAAAACGAAGCATGAAGTCGAGAAGTGAATTAATAAATATAGTCACTAATATTAAGAGTTTAATGTGAGAGATGAGAGTGCGTGTGATCAGTTGATGATCGGAAACGGAAGCCAATGTAGCTTGGAAGCAGTGACTGCTTTGTGCTTGATATTTATATTTTTTCGAGAGAAAGAGAGAGAGGGGAGAGAAGAGAATGCGAGGGAGAGAATGAAATGTAATATTAATAATGAGCTGATCTATACGGCACAATTCTTGTGTATGGAATTTACCGTGGGTTAGGTTAGTAAATAAATACCGTAAGACCGTATTGATAGTGAACACAGACAAGAGAAAGAGAGAGTACACGTGGACGTAAATGCGAGAAGGAGAAAGGAAAAATTGTGAAGCATGAAAAGAAAAAAAAAAGATTAAAAACAATTCTAGGTACGACGTGTGTTTGTACGCTACAGTAACCGCGCGCTTACTAATGATAAACCGATTACCCTTATGTAATAATTCTTAATTTTTAATCGTCATCGTGAAACTTCGTCACGTAATGATTTTTCAATTTTGATCCATGTCTCTGTAAATATTATGTTTTTATATACATATAAACCAAACCTACTACTACCCGATGATATATTTATTAAGTAAATACCAACAAGTAAGATTTCGGTCATATTTTACTGTTAGCATCTTGCAGCGATATGTCATGAATAAAAAAGATAATTAATAACCCAGCCGATCGACATTCTTCGATTTAAATGCGTACGTACGTGGGCGGCTTGTATTTGTATAGTGTGAGCAGAGTAACTCTCTAATTACAGAGTCTGTTCGTGATTGCCATCGACAAACATACTCGACGTAGTTTCATTAATTGAAATTGAGGATTACAGGAATGTTCGCAGTTTTACAAAAGAGTCTTGATTGAATTTTTGTTTGATCTTTTTTTTTGTTGCTGTATTTTTTGCCATTTTATATTATTTGTTCTCTTACACATTAGAGCGACGCATTCGTCGGCGTTGTTAATTCACGTGCAAATACAATATATTACATTTCGAGGAGTATCAAGAAGTAGCAAGTATAAATACTAAAATATTCTCTGATCGTGTTTCTACCTTAATTAAATTTATCATTACGAGTATGCGCGCGCAGTCTTTGCGTGGGACAATCGTCAATATTCAAATGTGGATTGTGACGTTTGCTTATACTTAAAAAAAATATATATATACTATATAAAGCGCGACTAATTTGAGTGTCGCCGATTGTGAAAGTCTAGGATTAATTATAAAAGTAGAAAATAGAATTTCTAGTTTTTGTCCCGAGCAAGCTCATGCGCACGCGCACGCCGTGTTCCCTCTTCTACGCGTCTTCATTAGCGATAATAAATAATAATATTAAATACTGATGTACAGTGTCAATGACTTAATTAACGGTGGACGATAATTATACTAAACTATATATGGCAGTGATCTTGCTACTATACATATTAATGCTCATTTACGCGAGTATGTTATTTATTTGCCAATGTGATGATGATGAGAATGAATATTTGCGCGATTCCATGTGGCTACGTTTTAATCTGTTATTGTGAGAGAGAAAAGTTGCGACTTACCCGATTGGAGGAGCGCGAAGGATAAGATAGTTAATTAATTCGTTAATCACGTTCAGATTCGAGATGAAACTCTTGATTTTTTTATTTTTTGTTTTGTTCACGGCTTAGCATCTTTTGGCTTCATTTTAAGTCTTACGTCTTAAAGATATGGAAATTATTTTTTTTTCGTTTATTTCTTAATTCTTTAATACGGATCTTTTTACTTCTCTCTAGTTTCTTCGCGATTAATCATCTCGCGCTATGGCACTACACCCCGGCGAGTTAAAACGTGACTCACACGTACGATTACTATTTTTTAATATTTTTGTTTTATAAGTTCTGTCGATCGTACCGGAATTCACGTTAGAACTATCAGCTATTGAATCGGACAGGAACTTAAGTGGATATTGTGAAGTTCAGCCATGTCCGTCCAATCTCGTCTTTCTCCGCCTATCATAACGTTTCTTATGCATCCATTGAAGTGATCTCGTGTTATTAATGTTCCCTTCGGTGCTGATGCTGTAAATAAAACAATATATATGTACCATTTCAACTCCTAAATTTATATTCTAAGATATGATAGAAGAGGTTGGATTAGAATATTCTTACCAGGTAATCCACCAATGTACAGAGGACTAGTAGATGCTGTGGATCCTATAAAGTGATAATTTACATTGGCTGGTAATCCATATTTTTGATCTAACTCATCCACTTTCAATGCCAATTCTTCGTCATTATAAACAGCCTGAATTCTATGCCATCTGTTGTCGCAGACTACATAGGGATTAGGAAAGTGCTGTTCGACATACAGTGGATTGTTGTCTCCCAGGTCCCCAGACATTATAACTTTACCATTGTTCAGTTCTAAGGACATGGATGGCGAACCACCTGGTGCAGTAATCGAAAGAAGTACACCAGATAGTTCAGAGGTTCGAAACTCCAATTCAAGTTCCAGTACTGCACCCAATTCGAAGTCTCTCTCTATAAAAATATGGATAAATTGTATTAATAATTTTCTACTACTCCGCTGTTAGTATCTTAAGATTGTACATTGCTCTTTGTCGACTTACTATAAATTGCATAAGCTTCATCCTGGAAATATGCACCACTCTCAACACTGGGGAAGCATTGGCCCACGTTGTAGGCTCTACTGGTGGAACCAACCATGTCGTAGATATTTCCGTTGACGCGTAATCCTCTCATACATCCTTTCAGGGTTTCCAGTTTGACAACAACTTGTTCAGGTAAGGGTGTACCGTTTTCTGGAAGGCCCCCTATGTACATCATTGATGCAAGTCCTATCTTCTTGGGGACTTTGATTGTTCTAGGCGATTGTGTGTCTACGACTAGTGTTAGCTTTCTGTCTTCGTGACTGATCACTACGTGATGCCAGTTACCATTGTTGAATGGCGTTTTAAACAGGATCTCTTTCTTCTGTTTACTTTTTACTAGCAATAACAGCTGACCATCACGGATGACAACCATAAGATAGGGTTTAGGTTTGAGCCCCTGAAATTATTAATCAATTAATTGGTGCTGTGTGCTTTATAATGTTTTTATTACCCTTCAATTTCCTTACCGGTGTAATGAAGAGCAGACCGTTTGGATAGTATGTGCGAAAATCAAATTCAATTACGTATTTCTTCTCCCAGAATTTTTTGAAGTTTAGGTACAGCTGAGTGTGACTGTGAGGTTTGTCACCAAACTTTAGGGCACCCGGTTCTAGGGAATAGTAGGGTACTTTTTGACAGCCTTCTGGCTGGGTTGACATCCCACGGGACAGAGATGCCGATGGGGCGTAATTTTGAGGATCTTCACCCATACTAGGACCTGGACGACCGATTAGGGCATGGTCGAAAGTGGTGACCTCGTCGAATCTCAGTACTCTGTTATTAAAGGTGTATGAGTGATTATAGAACTTGAGACAATTACATAATTTGAATTTTTTTAACTTACTCATCATTGAAAATCGCATCCTTTATTGCACCGTATAAAGGTATACTTGTAGCCACTATTTTTGTATTATTAATCAAAGCTGGCAAACCACCAAAATATAAACCGCCATTGGAATCCGGTGCTCTTATGGCGGCGCCAGTTGGTAGTCTGCCACTACCTTGATAAGCATCATCAACTCTCAATTCTACATCCTTTCTTTTTTTTATAATTGTTACTGCATGATACTTTCCGTCGTTGAAAGTATTATTAGTCTGAACAATCATTTCCCCTTTGCCGGCATTCATTCGCACTTGAATTTGCCCATTGACAATGGCGACCGAGTAGTAGCTGTTTCTCTGCAGAATCGCAATGTTATTTTGTATCTAAAAATTAAGAAAATAATTTGTTTATAAAAATTCTTACATTCGAATCCTCGTCTGCATTTTGAATATTGTTTAGTCGTTCCTCCTGGCCTTGGAATGTTGACAACAAAAGTATTGCAGTGTCCTGCATAGTTCTAAAAGTGAAATTAATGACGGATGATATTTTCTTTAACGTGAACGAATGATGCTCCAAGTACCCGTTGCCATAGAATCCGACAATTCGTAAAGGCTATAAAAAATGAATAGACAAAAATTAATATAATTAAAATACTAATATCAATATCCCACCGTTCAATCCCAATCCTTTACCTTATTTCCACAACTTGGCTCTACACCGTAATATTTTTCAGCCATTGGATCGTATCCATCTTGTATAACAATATTCGACATACATCCCAAGAATGAAACTTGAGACGGCAACATCAACTGATCATTTCGAAAACTAGGTGGCAAACCCCCAATATAATATAGAGCTTGTGAAAGATCAGGGATGTCATCCTTCTTAGGTTGTGGAGTTGGCGCTCCAATTTTTTTATCAGTTTCACCCCCAACGCTGAGACGACATTTTTCAATATTCTTCGTCGTCTGGTACTGGCGGAATGCACCAACCTCTGTCCAATTTCCGGTATTATATTTGTGGGTCGATGACATTTCCATACTGACATTTCCGCCGTAACCAATGTGCAAGACGACGCGACCCTCACGTAGATAAATCATAACATGTTGACTCTGATGATGCAGAAGATATGGATTATTAATTAATATATATTTAAATATTAAATTAACTTGATTTCTATATTATTCTCTAAACCTACATTGTTCTGGTTAAGAGCTAAGAATAGCAATGCATTTTCATCAAATGTCCGGAAACTGATTGATACCCCAAATATATACTTATTGTACGGGCCAGTGAGAACTCTTTTACGCACCGAATAGCCATCGCCATTAAAATTATATGCAATTTCATTAATTTCACCTTTAGCGCTGCAAAAAAAGAAAATAAACAATAATGACGGAAGTATTGATTAAAAGCAGATTCATTGCTTTTTAATTAATATAATGTATTACCCCTCCATGCAAGCCTGACACGCCTTGTCTGGTGCTGTTGTTACGAAGTTCCAAAGTCCAATTGGTCGTCCATCCAGGATGACCTGGTGAACGCAACAAGGTAGACCATTGCCAGCTAATAATTCCTTGGGTCTTCTTTGAGACTCAGGAATTCCACCAAGCCATATACGATCGGTTGATATAACGTCAAATCGGCCGTATTCGGGATCTGTGGAGTTCACGACCGGTAGGTACCTTCCGGACGTGGAGGACTGCTTTCGCACACTAAGTGTGCCAGTGTTTCTTATTCTGTAATGAAGTATTTTAATTGCGTGTAAATTGATATTTGACAATTTTGTTTTCTTCAGATTTAAGCTTTTTTTTTCAATTACCTTTCGGCTTCTATTCGATACCATGAATCGTCATTTTGTATATGACCTGATTCGATGACTTCCGGATGAGTAATGACGCCCGTACCTCCTCCAACATTCCATACGAATTTTATCTTCCTGTCAACCATTTCCAGCGCTACGAAATCGTCCTGAAAGTCGAATTTTGATTCTTGATTTACGTAATAAGGTGATACGATTATTGTAATTCAAAGGTGTGTATTGTATATATGTGTGTATATATATATATATATTTATCTTACGTTAATACTGCTTGGTAGATAAAATAAAGATCCTTCTCTTTGATTACTATCAACTGATAATGTTAGTACGATACTGGTTGTTGAGGAAGGTTGTAATATCGCTGGTCTGTAGGACCTAACGCATTTTTTATTTTCAACAGATTTCAAGGAGATACGTATCTGAAAGAAATAAGATTTTCGTTAATAAAATTGAATTTCTCAAAAACTTTTTTAATATTCAGTTATCGCAGTAGAGTTAGATACCCCATCAGCAGTATTTCTTGCTTCGGCAATCTTATTTTTTAAATTTTGTAATTTTTCAGCAAGTGTGTCATTCCATTTTTTAAATTCTGATTGTCTCTTCACTGAAGCGTTAGTCAAACTAATCAACTTGGCGTCAGCTTTCTTTATATTGCTCTGTGCTTCGGTTACTAAAACATTTTTTCAAGTCTCATTTTAGGTTCATGCCATAAGTTATTTTCATAAAAAACTGATTTCTTAGAAAAACTTACGTTTTTCACTAGCTAAACTAATTTTCCAGTCACCTTCCCTTTTAAGTTCTTGTAATTTTGGTTTGAGCCTATTCGCTGTACCTTCTTTATAATCTTCTATCAATCTTTTTGATTGCTCAATGGATTCAATCACTTCGTCATTATCAACCAAAATTGTTTGGAGCTCTTCCTGAACTGTGTAGAATCCAAAAATTTATTTCACGCTATAAAAATAGTTATGAATACTTTTCACTATTTCTCTATACTCACCCTTTTTATTTTCACTTTTGAGTTCACGTAATTTTACATTGATTTGATTATCTTTGATTCCTGTACGATTCAAAGTATCTTTTAAATCAGTAACTGCCTGCTTTTGAGCTTCCAATTGATTCCCCGCTGAGATTACTAGCTTTTCATGCTGCTTTGCTCTCGTCCATTGCTCAGATGATCTTGATGACATTTCCATTGCACTGTCTAACAGAGATTTTGAGTGAACGCCTCCAGGAAAGACCTGTAGCAAGAATCAATGATATCAATGATAATTCATTAGTTGGTACAAGATAGTACAATTGGAATAATTAAAAGCAACAAGTACTTTGGTGTACATGTCATCTGCAGTTTCCTTAGCTTGTATTGCTGCAACTTTTGCAGCCTCCAGTGTGTCAACAATATTCTTATAAGCCTGACTAGCCTTTAGAGGATTAGCTGCCTCGTTCTTGGTTTCAGCAAACAATCTGGTACAGATATAACGTGCTTATTGAGCGATGTTAATTCTACGAATAATATTTTCAGTAAATACATTTATTTGTGTTTGCTTATTACCCAACATAACGATCGGCAAATTCAGACAAGTTTTTTGCATGCTCAACAGCTGGCAGAACGTATTTTTCTTGATACTCATAATTTAATCTGTATAGAATTTCTTCTTTCATATTTAAAATTTCACTCCAGTTTAATAATTTTGTACGTAATTCCGGAAGGTCCTGTAAGCATTAATAAACCAATATATGCATATACCTATATGCAGTAATTTGACATACAAATTATAGTAGCATAGACGTAAATTATACCTGAAAATTATTTTGGCTATCAATAAAAAATCCTTCTGCCTCGTCAATCAGTTTCTCTCCTTCGTCGGTCGTTTCTGTGATTTCGTTTTTTAATCCACGTATGAGTGAATACTGATAATTAGTATCGTCTAATGTGTTGTTGATTTCATTATATAGTCCGTCGTACGTGAACAATGTCTCCATTGTACTTTCTATAATTGTTCTCAAATCATGTAATTTCCTCGAAGTGTTCAATGCATCTTTTTTAGCTTTCATTAAAGGCTCTGTCGCGTCGTACTGAGAATTCAGCCAAAAGATATAGTCGGTGACGTCGCTAATAGATTGATTAACAAAATATTAAATTAAATAATATTATAAACATTCAGTAGGCTTACAGAAAAATAAGACTTACTCAAGAGCAGCCTGAATTTCTTTTGTTTTCTGTGATAAATTTACGGTTCTTAAATTATTTAATATTGCAGTAGCTTCTTTCAATGCTTTTTTCACTTCGATCTTCTTATCATCATCTCCGTATTGTGAAAGCTGAGCCATAGTGTCTAATCAAACAAAAGTTTTCGAAAATAATGACTAAATGTAGAGCATATGTATATAATTAAAAGAATTAGCTCATTATATATAAGTTCAATGATCAAGTACCTTCCAGTTGTTGTTTCACATGTTTAATTTCGATGTGCGTACTGTAGATATTATTTTTCAAATCATCACTTTTCGATCTAAGAATGCTGGCACGCTCGGCTAATTGGTTCGCCTAAATTAATTGATAAAAATAAAGAACAATTAAAATATCAATAGGTATATCGAGTATTTATCACTAATTTTTCATCAATTGATATCAATATCAATAAGATATCAATATAAATAACGATAAGATATAATATATCTAGTATGATATATGTACGCGCTTGTTCGGCATAATTAAATGACGTATGATGAATATAATGGATCTCTTAGAGTTTAAACTGATAAGATGGGAACCAATGATTATCTTATATTTGACTAAGATTTATCATGACAAAACAAGTCATGATTCCCTATACACATTCTAATAGATTAGACAATTCCTTATCGAATACACTTTTATATTATTTCTTACATTTCTCAATAAACCTTCTGCGTTTGTCATAAGTTTCCTGTAATCATACCAGGGTACATTTTTCAATCTAGTCTTAATCAAATTTTCCATTTGAAGCTTATCAAGCAATGCAGTTGTATTCGAGTCGATGAATGACAAATCTTCCCAAGGTGGTGGAATATAACCATTCGCAATATGAGTAGTTTCCAGTGCCAATGTGTTAGCCATCGCACTAAGATTATCAAGCAGTATACCAGTGCAATTGTCATTGCAGGCTGAAATGCATAAAAATAATATATATTCAAATATACAAATTCTTGCAATAGTCATCTCTTCAATTTTCTAAATACATACAGGTACAAATGTCATTGATAAACACATGTCTAATCGCAGTGCAATGTGAACAATCCCTTCCAGTAGAACCAGGTCTGCAGTTGCATTGTCCAGTTTCCTCATCGCACTCATCACTTGCACTTCCAGCTAAATTGCAGTTGCAAGGTTTGCAACTGCCACCAGGAATTGTAGGAAAACCATAATACCCATAGGAACACCGTTCACACCTTATGCCAGTATATCCTGTTCGTATAATGAAAGCATGGAATAAATATTGTTCAACAATTTCCAATGGCATGTGGAACAATGTGCAACATACCTGGTTTGCAATGACAAACGACATCATTGTATGAGCGTACAATGCAGGTACTAGAAAATCTTTTATCAGCATGTGGACACGGACAGGGTTTGCAGCCTCCAAAATCAGGATGACCATAAAAGCTATCTGCACAGACGTCACAGTGATTGCCAGCAGTGTTGTGTCTGCAATCCTAAATAGATAATAAAAAAAAAAGGTTAGGTTCTTGCCATTGTAATTTTTTTATCTCATGACACTACAGATTTTCAATTTCTTTCTGGTCCATTGAATGCTAACCAGACAATATCCCGTTTCCTTGTCGCAGATTTCCGATCTCCCGTTACACTGACAGCGTCTCGCTTGGCCGATCAGATCGATCACGATCGTTGATGTTGCTGTACTGTTGTTGTACCATCGATAAAATCCTACGCTCGGATCTTGACAGGATGTACTGTTGTACTCTGGTGGGCATTTGCAAATCTCAACGCCCGCTGCCAATAACGGGGAATGCGTAGGCGTGAGAACAGCAGCGTCCAAAGTTGCGTTGAGAAGTCTGTAGATATTAAAAAAAAAGTATTTTAAACTTACATTAATCACTTTCTTAGACGTTCATTACTTTGACACTTATGACTTACGTGACTTTCGTAAAATCCGAATAATCCGACGCTTTTAAAAGAATATGCTGCAAATTTTGCAACGTTACCATAAGAATTTCACGGGACACAGTGTAATCTGGTCTATTTTGTAATTGCCACAAAGATTCGTGTAATCTATAACAATTAAAACAATTTCCTGTTAATCAGATCAAAAGAATAGATACCGTTCATCTTATTGCGCGTGGCCAAAGATTTTCTTGTAGATATTTCTCATATCTATATTTACCTGACTTCGTAATAATTATCGTTAACCGGCAAGTGAAGATAGTACTCCAATACAAGCTTGCCATTTCCCTGAATTTGCACAAGTGGATACTGAAGGTTGTTGCGCAAAATATCGCCGCCTTCCGCCTTAGTAGCAAACCGTAAAAAACCACCGTAGGAGACGACCTTAAAATTTTCAAAAATCACATCCTTCAACATTAGAGTCAAACAAGCAAAAAGAACAGTCTTAGTTAATAAATATTCTACGAGTGATAGAGCAGAGTGCAAGATAAGAGCAAGGGGTAGGGGAGATAGAGAGATTAATTAATTCGATAAGAATCTTTCAGATTTTTTTTTTATTTTTTATCTTTTTTTCACTCTCAATCGCGTCACTTCTCTTCAACTCAAGAGTCTTCTTGATAGGCAGGCGAACGCCGAAGAGCTTCTTAAAGGGGATTTACCTTATCTCCAAGAAAAGATTTGGGCAGTTGCCAGTAGAGTGGATAGCTGTAATACAGACTCGAGGGTAGTGTTACGTCACCCTCGGTGCCGGGGATGATCGTGAGACCGTTCGTCACGTTTAATCCTCCATTAAGAGACGGCAGGATGCTGGTTGAGCCAGATCTGTTTATCTGAAATACAAAATAAGACATAATCATTCAAACTACATTCTTTATGCTATTTCTAAAGATAAAAGTCAACTAAAGTAATTTCTGAAGTGACACATGTTTTATTTTAAACGACTACGTTATTTGATACATTAAATCACCAATAACGCTCAATAAATTTTAATCCCAGCAACGTACAATAAAAGAGATTCTATCTTGCTGATATCTTATCAGCATATTTCAGTAGCTGATTTCTATATCAAGTGCTTTCCGCATCAATGAGATATACCAGTGGATTAGTGTGAATCAGTGTATTCGATGTTATTTATTAGATCTCTTATCGGCAATTTTTAGTTATCATTCGCATATATTTTTTTGAACTTGACGTAAACAAGTGTATGAAAGAAAATACGAAAAAATGCATATGATAATTACGTGTTATCATTTCAAGCACATTTCTAAAAAAAATACTATTCGACAAATTTACTTTTCACTTGATACACACTGCTTCATCACGACACGTCAGTCTTTACAAATTTTTCCTGAAATCAAAAATTCTTATCACTCACCATCACGTCATTGACTGCATCGCTTACGTAGAGTATACGTGGCTTTGGCAGCCTTCTCTGTCCCCACGACAAACCAGCTTCTTGACAGAGAGTCGATCTGCCAAAGCAGAAGCACTCTATGCATCCCTTTGCATTTTCTTCAGCAAGTCCAAACGTACCTTCCCTACATTTATTGCACTGTTTGCCCACAGTATTTTCCTGATAACAAAAAATCAGTGTTAATTATCACACTAAGAGTTTTTATTTTGAAAAATTCATTATTTATATATACATATATATACCTTGCAAGGACACTGTCCCCTCTCGTCGCACTCGCAACCGCCATCCTTGCATTGCAACGTACCTGCCACATTGCACTTGCATGGTCTGCAACGTGGATAGCCGTAATATCCTTTCGCGCAAAATTCGCACCTGAGTCCCTCGTATCCGTCCCTGCATGTGCATTGCCCATTGACGTCACACTGGGGTTTCGTAGACCCCGGGGTGCAGTCACATGACTTGCATCCAATACCAGGTACAAGTCCGTACGAACCAGGTCGACAACGATCGCAATACTCGCCGAGTGTCAAACTCGGGCAGATGCAACGACCGGTATCCGGATCGCAGATATGGCCAGTTTTGTCGCAGGTATCGCAGGCTATAAGTAAAAAAAAAAATATCAGCTTCTCATCGTCCGAGTGAGTATGGTAAATGGGCTTATTGCAAGTTCAGGATTATTATTATTTAACAAGATTTTCCACCGTCGCCATAGTCTCTTTATGCGCTCTGTCTAATTTGCGGATCGTAAAGACGAGGTTTGCCGCTTGCAGTTTAACGATAGACGACAGCTGCAATCGTGAAATGTTTTCAGTCTCCTGTAATCTTCTTCCTGCATCTTCTCAAACTGGTCCAGTATATAACTATATGTTTATATTATATGCCAGAGCCGCAATCTTCCGGGATGCAGTTTCTTCATTTATTCGCAATTTTTTTTTTTTAATTTTTTACTTACGTTGACAACCGTTTTTCGAAAATCCATAATATCCAGGTGAACAGTTATCACAGTGCGTTCCACCTACGCCAGGCTTGCAGTAACATTGTCCTGTGTCTTCGTGGCAGGATGCATTGTAAGATCCAAAAGAGTCACAGGCGCATGGTGCGCATCCTGCGCCGGTAGCCAAACCCCAATAACCGCCCTTAAGGTAAAATAAAATATGAATATATGAAATTACAAAAAAGAATTTTTTTACAAAATTTTCAAAACCTATGCTATCGCACGAGCTTGGTGCATTTTACCTTGCAATGATCGCAGGTTCTTCCAGTGACGTGTTGCCTGCAGTGACACTGACCTGTCACAATATCACAAGCCATAGACGTCGATCCAATGTCGTTGCATCTGCAGCCTGTAACAGTAAAATAGGTAAGTGCAATAGAATGCATTTATTTGCATTGCAAAGATCAATCGATTATTTTTTTTAATTTTTTTTTGACAATCAAAAATTTCAAATTACGTCATTCCTCGTTATAATAAAAATAATTGTTTTTCTTTCGTATATATCCTTTTGTATTTTTGCATGTCAATCATTTGAATTTTAACTCTTTTTAGAATCTGACGTAAGCGCATTCGGAATCGCCAAGTCTTATACGCATGTAAATATACGCCCTGTCGACGACGAATTGCTCGCTGTCACGTTGCCCAATTAGCGACGCGATCGGCGTGAATGCCGCATTGTATTCAAATGAGCGACACGTCGCGGCATGCCTTGATGAGATCTGACGATGCTTGACACGTGTGAATATAAGCGTAAGGCACGGTGGTCCATCATCATTATCGTACGGTCTGGTCGATATCGTCATCCAAAGTTTAAATGTCGCGAGAAGTCTCTATAGAAAATTATGATTTTTCTTTGTCGCTATAGAGAAGTTACTATACAGGGTGTCTCGTCTGACTTGACCACTTAAAATATTACGATTGCCTTTGATGATAATAATCTTTAAGGAAAAATTGTTCGGTACAAAGCTGCAAATACTCTGGATGAGCATAATTTTTTCTAATTCATTTTTTTGAAATTCAAGATCGATTCTTTAAAAATAAGTCGACATATTTTTATTACAACAGTCTTGTAGTTGATAAAAAAAAAGAAATTCAATGATGAAAAATTGCATTGGCCTTCGTGGGACCTTGAACGAGACAATTGCGAAATTTTTGCCATTATTTTCAGCACTTGTTCGAGGACGGTAAATAAATGAATTTCAATTTCAACGTGCATGGAATACGATTTATAGAGATGTGCTTGAAAATTTAGAGAAATCGTTCGTTTACCGTACCAAAAAATGTATTGAGGTTAATGGTGTACATTTTTAACATTATGAGATATAATGAAAAAAATTTAACGTGTTTTATGAGAATTTCATTCCGAACAATAAATTGTGATACGAGTTATTAATTAATTTTGAATTATAAAAATGTACAATACGTATAGTAATGGTACTATGTAAAAGTGTAATTGGATATTTTAGATCTGCCTCGAGTGCTGTGATATATTTAATAACAGGCGTGGTTACACGCATAAATAAATAGTCGGTATTCGTATTGGTTATGGCGAGTCCACATGAAGCCACAGGGCCAACGTTACACGCTGTTATATCTTTCTAAAAGATATAACGAGAGTAACGCCTCGATATGAGGCCTGTAATTTTCGTCATTTATAAAGGAAACGTTAAGTCTGAGCTACGGGCGTAAAACTGAGAGTATCTTCAAGGTAGCATTACGCAGTAAGTGATACCTGACCAGTTTTCGATTTATATCGATCGACAAATTGCACGCTATTAGATATCAGCCTTTAGTCTGGACGCGATCGTTAACAGAATTCCGATTCGATTAATCGATCGCACAATATACGAAATCGCATAAAATTCCAGAAAAAATAACAGTCCCGCCGGACGCCTGTGTCTTGTACGATTTCCTAACCTAGAAATTTCACTCGAAACGATCGCTCGGAAAATTAACCAATTCACATACGTGCGCTTTGTCCAAATTATATGCACGTCCTGCACAAAGTTAAGATTAGCTTCATGGGAAACACCAATAACGTTATTTTCCTCACGTGAACGGAAACGTCACTTGTCCATTAGAAGAATTTTTTTCTTAATCCAATCACAGCCAACCTTTGTCATTCCTGAGCGACGGCGACAAAGTCGCTGCGGTGCGTACCGGCTGAATTCTTATTGGTCTGTAATTTAAAAGTCTAACAGGAAGTTGCATGCTCTGTGGTTGCATTTTACATTACGTCGGATGGGAGCGATGCACTTTTTATGCATTTCATTGTTGCAAGCCTTTCCTTTTTAGGCTATGTCAAGCATATCAGCTGATAAGACGGATTTACTGGTCCAGTTTAATTCTGTCGTGAAGACCGAGCGTCGATGTAATTTTACATATGTATATGCAGTCAAGATAGGGAATAGTTCGAATGATAAGAGTCACGGATATCAAGTCTCTTACGTATGTATAAATTTTTTTTCTTTATAATATAATAATGACTCTGCTCTCTTACTGCCATGCACTCACTGACTGTTTATGACACGATGACTCATCCAAAGCCCAACAATGATGCTTTGATAGAGATGCACCTCCCATCGATAAACTCCTCTTTCATCGGCTACGACATCGATTCTATCGATACTTGATGGACTTGTGGTAACAGTTAGAAATCTTCTTGCCTAGATTCTTTTTTACTCGATATTTTTTCTCGTGACTGTACTTTATTTTGCAAATAAGTCTACCTCGATCGACCGATAGGTTAAGTGGTAATAATTCCTTACTTTTTTTTTCTCATTTACTTTTTTACTATCAATCTGACAGTTTACTAACGAGATTATTTATGCTGATTTACGAACGATTTCGATTGGACAGCCAGGCGCGATGTTTAATCGGATTTAAAGGAATCTTTAAGTCTTCTTTCCATCGGATTTCGAGTGTGGCGATTTACATATACATATATGTATATATATAGCAACTTGCAAACACACCCATTGGTTTATGTACGAGTATTCAATTTGTTGATTCCAATCTTTTTCAAAACTATTTCTATGTACGTTTTCAACTAATTTTGTGTATTTATCTGGATTTTGAAAATTCAAGTAGTCAAGCTCAATTTCACTGTAAAAATTTCAATTATTACTCGCACCGGTTTAGCAGCAGATACTAAGCTATCTGTTGCTATGCAGTGTGTTATCATTAGTGTAAATATATATCTAACTGCGCAATTTGTCATAAGTTATCGAATGCGAGGGAACAATTAGTTGATAAAAATTAAAGTGAAAGATTCGCAGAATAGCTGATAGTGGCCTCTTTGTAAAGACACGAAAGCAGATGCACTCCCGGGCAATGTCGTAAAGTCGCAAAATTACGATCGCGCCTTGAGATATAATAAGGTTAGAGGAACGAGAGAAGAGATGCAGATGCACGATGACGGATTTAACAAGAGCGTGTTAAAGGATTGACTGTAAAAGCGAAGCTAAGTGCATTGGCTACTTTGTGTCGAGGATCTCGTCGCGTATTGCGAGTCTCTTTACGGTTGGCGTTATCGCATGAAAGGCGACTGAGAATCGTCGAGGCTTCGCGCGTATAAATACTTGCATACTTGTTGCATTCTTAGATGGAGTCTTGAGTCGTAATCCTAGGACTGGATTTTACATGGGGATAATAATAATGATAATGGCTCTTAAAGACTGTAAGGTACGTTCGAATCCCATTAGAAGCTTAATTGGACGTCGAATAGAGAATATTATCGCTTTAATTATATACAGTGATTATATGCACTTCGAAAGCGAATGAAGACGTTTGCACGTGTGAGAATTTTATAGCAGCTGCATTTCGAGTTGGTTATAATTTTTTTTTTTTTTTTTTTTTTTTTTTTCCAAAACAGATTG